CATGGCCCCCCAACCAGGCATGGTTCCAGGTAGAAGCAATAGCCAGGGGATACATGCTGATGGCCATTCCAAGATACAGCCAGATTAATCGTCAGGAGCTCAGGTGACCTGAGATGGGAGGAGCTTCACAGTTACTGCCAGGACAGCTGAATTCCCCAGAACTGTCAGGATGCCTGAAAGGAGGAGGAGGAAAGCAGTGTGGTTTTCAGGCATTCATAATCAGTCAACAAACCAGTGCGGTTCATCACCCTGCAAGATGCAAACATCATGACCCACAGCCAGTGAATACTCTATAACTCAAGGTTTAGAAGCCATAGCAGTCTTCTTTTTTAACGAGAAGTAAGTATTTTATTCACAGGCCTTTCTCCACAATAGGTAATGTGTTACCCAAAGTAACATGAAACAGCTGGTGAATTTATATCAGTGGATTTGTGACTGAAGGACAGGTAAGGGTCAGAGCAAGAGTGGATTCTGTTTCAGCCACAAATCAGTCACTTTCTAGCATCTAGTCTTGATACCTGTGGTATGCTCGCTTCAACACTGTAGAGTTATTTTCTTGACATTGTAAAAGGTGAATTGAAGTGTGCATCCAAAAGAAAATGTTGGTGGGGTCGCCTGACATTCCCGAGAATAGCAATCCCTAGAGTAGTAAGAAGTGGGGAGGGCGAGAAGGCTGTCCAGTCCTAATACCCTTGTTGGTGCAAACTCTGTGCTCAATAGCAGATTCTCAGACAAGACAAAATGGGTGGAAGTGATCGCGAATATAGTTCCGGACACTCCCAAGCTTATGATTCCGTGGGTCTCAACGTTCAAGCTCTCTCCCTCCTCCACCCCCAAACTTTGATAGCCATTGTTCAATGTTTCATGGCCTCAGTGAAAACTACTAAGTAGCATCTGCACTCACCTGGTCAAATGCTTGATTTAGGCTGTAATCCAACACACAATTACTTACCTGGAAGAAAGTCACAATGAAGTCATCTAGCCTTACATTTCAGTAGACATGTATAGGATTGCACTACCAGTTTGTTGTCAGCTCTGGTGTCCAGAGAAGTAGTTCCACTAGCACTAGAACTTCTGTTTGTGTACAGAACAACCCTTGCTGCTTCTCTCCTTGTCCCTGCTCCACAGATCTGCTCCGGAGGGTGAACAACAGAAAATAAGACAGAAACCCTTTCTCTACCATTGACATGTGAAGAGAACATCTTGTTAAGGGCCACCCCAATCTCTGCCAAGTGGTGTGAAGTTCCAGGAGTCTTCGCCCTTATCCAGGGTTCATGTTTCCATTGGAAGAATGGTTTTATTTACAGACGCGGGTGGCGCTGTGGGTAAAACCTCAGTGCCTAGGACTTGCCGATCGCATGGTCAGCGGTTCGAATCCCCGCGGCGGGGTGAGCTCCCGTCGTTCGGTCCCAGCTCCTGCCCACCTAGCTTAAGTACACTTAAGCGCAAGTAGATAAATAGGTACCGCTTTCTAGCGGGAAGGTAAACGGCGTTTCCGTGTGCTGCGCTGGTGCTGGCTCGCCAGAGCAGCTTCATCACGCTGGCCACGTGACCCGGAAGTGTCTGCGGACAGCGCTGGCCCCGGCCTCTTAAGTGAGATGGGCGCACAACCCTAGAGTCGGACACGACTGGCCCGTACAGGCAGGGGTACCTTTACCTTTATATTCACCTTAACCTTGATGAAGGGGGTGCAGAGGGTGAATGTATTTTTTGCCAACCTTTCAGGGCAAAGTCTTCCCATTATAGCTTTCCAAAACTAGCTTATGACCACAATATCTAGTGATGGCTTTGATAGCTTAGGGGACCAACTGCAACCGCTGCAGATAAAAGTTTTCATAAGACAGTTTCAGTCTCTGCACTCATTTCACAAGTCTGTGCCAACTCATCCAACAGAGATTCAGACACCATGAGGAGAATGTGTGAGGGGATCCATGTAGGATAGTGGCCACTTTGCTCCTCTTCCCTCTGCTGTTGCACTAGTGGAGATAAACCATGGTTTGGCTTAATGTTACACCTGAATTGGCCTTGTAGTTTTTTCACTGCAAACAAACTGCAAGCTGTAACACAGCCTCTCCAACTTCCATTCTTGCCAGCTCATTTATTGCGAGCTGCGTCTTCTTGCCAGGGTTAGGAATGCAGATCCATCACCATCCTTCCTTTTCCCTCCGTTTCTTTCCCCCCCAAAGAACTAGCTTTAATATCAAAAGCATTGCAGGTGAGGTCAGGTGAGACTTTGCAAGTACACCATCTTCATTCCCCCCGCCCCACTCAATTTATTTATTATTAATGTTGCAATACATATATGAAATCTTTACATATTGATACATATACATTATATTCGTAAATTCACATTTTCACATTTATCCATTTCTTATTTCTTACTCTGTGTCTTCCCTCCACCTGTACATGACTTCCTTGTTATTATTTTGTAGCTTTATTATTGAGATTGTGATTTTGTGTCTTAATAATTAAACATTCAATCTTATTCTCTGCTTAGCTTAGCTTAGCTTAACTTTGTGAAATCAGTCTATACATATCAATAAATTCTTGTGGGAGCATCTTTTGGTCATGTATTCTTTTACACATTTCCATTCCTGTTTGAGATTTTGATTAGATTGCATTCTAATTGTTGCCGTCATTTTTGCTAATTCAATCATTTCAAAAAAATTATTTTGCCAATCTTTCAATGTAGGTACTTGTTCTGATTTCCAATTTTTTGCAATCAATCATCTTGCGGCAACTGTTGCAAATAAAAAGATTCTTTTCATGTCTTTTGGGGTGTCATTTGTTATAATTCCTAAAAGGAATGTTTCCAGCTTCTTACCAATTGTTGTTTAAAACATTTTTTTCAGTTCCTCATGTATATTTCCCCAAAATTTCTTAATTTTATCACATCCCCACCATACATGATATAAGGATCCCTCTGATACCTTACATCTCCAACACAGATTCGATGTTAGTTTATAAATTTTTGCCAGTTTTACAGGGGTTAAGTACCACCTGTAAAACATTTTCATAATGTTTTCTTTGATAGTAATGCATGCGGTGAAATTAATATCTGATTTCCGAAGTTTTTCCCAATGATCTAATGAAATCGTGTATCCAAAATCCTGTCCCCCTTGATCATTACTTCTTTTATTTGTTCGTCTTTGAGTTCCCATTCAAGTAATAGATTATACATTTTGATAGATTTTTTTTGGGGGGGGGGTTGTTCAAAAGTTCTATCTGGAATTTGGATTCTTCTTTTTGGAAAGCTATTTTATTTTCAGAGTTAAATTTGTCATATAATTGATGCTATTGTAGCCAGGTGGTACAAAACTGTTTACTATTATCATCTCCATGTTCTATTATTTAATACATAAACTCCCCCCTTTCATATATTTTAACCCCCTTTTAAAAAAATCAACCCTTCCCCCCTTCTCTAAGTCTTCAGCCATTTACTTAATTATTATTACTACCATTTTTAATTAATATTAATATTACTACCATTTTTAAAATACACCCATATATTACTTAAAACACACTTTCCACCCCACCAAAAAAGGAAAAATATCGGCAATTAAAATGAATGTGTTGCCAAAAATGCGATTTCTTTTTCAATCAATACCAGTCGTCCTGAAAGATGTTTTAAAAAATGGCAGAAAGAGATTTCAAAATTTATCTGGGGGGAAGGGGGGCAAAAGGCCAAGGATAAAATATAAAATACTTACAGATGTAAAAGACAGAGGTGATTGAAGGGAAAGTGAAATTACTGAAGGCCGCACACAGCATACTATTAGAATGGGAGACGAAAGATGAAGAGGTAAAATCAGTTATGATTAAATGGGCACAAGATGTAGGTCACAATATTATGATGGAAGATTGGGAAAAACTATGGAAAACTGATTTAAAATTTACAGATTGTTCCCTATTGAAGGAAAATTATATGAAGATGATGTACAGATGGCACATGACACCAGTGAAGTTAGGGAAAATGTATAAAACTAGTTCAAATATATGTTGGAAGTGTAAGGAAAAGGAGGGGACATTTTATCATATGCAGTGGGATTGTAATGTAATTTTTGGGAATGATATACAACGAATTAAAGAAAATGTTTCATCTAACATTTGTTAAAAAACCTGAAGCATTTTTGTTAGGGATTGTAGAGAAAGACCTGCCAAAAAAGCTGAAAAACATCTTCATGTATGCGACAACGGCTGCGAGAGTTTTGGGAGCACAAGGATGGAAGACTGAAGAAACCCCAACTAAAGAATCATGGCAAGAAAAATTGACGGACTATGCAGAACTGGCAAAACTGACATACAAGCTACGGGACAAGGATAACTGTGACTTTAAGGGTGAATGGGAACCCTTTACAAAGTATCTGAAGATGCCACAAAGCGAACTGGACTCCTTGGCAGGTTTTGAATAAACATTCACAAACTTTTTATTGATAATAATCAGCTAAATAGTTTGAGGATCTATACAACTTTGTAACATGCAGAAAACAGCAGTCTCAGAGAAACCAAAGACTGGAACTGAGGGAAGTCGGGGGGTGGAGGAAAAATGGGGAGGGGAAACAAGGATGATATGTTTTTCGATAATATGTTTTGTTATAATTTTGAATAAAAAAAATTCAAAAGGGGGGACACTTTCTTTTGTTGTTGTTGTTGTCCTCTTTCCTTTCCAATATATTTTATCTTCTTCTACCTCACCGTGCCACACACATTTTAAAAATCTTTCTAGATGTACCACCCAAGCATGGGATTGTTCTTTGAGCCCCCCAACACGTGGCAAACTTGAGTCAAGCCAGCTCTCCCCTTTCTTGACAGCAGTGTCCTGTTCCTCATACCACAACCCCAAGGATGCTCACTAGGAACCAATTTCCACTGGGGCAGAATAATTTACTCCCAAGTAGAGCTATTTAGGAGGCTCAGGCCCGAAGGTGCACTTTCATGAGCAGGAGGCCTCTTTCTGACTTAGGGAAATATTCTTGCATGAGAAAAGATCAAAAGGACAGTGTGTCTAGAGATGTATTTATTTAAGTAATACTTCTGCCTGTATCATTCTAAGCACCATATCATGGGTTCCCTGGTGGTCTCCCATCTGGGCACCTCAGGACACCTGCCAAGTGTCCCTATTTTCAAGGGACAGCCCCATTGTGACACCTCCCTCTGCTGGCTCACTGGTCACCAGAGTGCAAAAAGGCCTGGTGAACTCCTATGGTTGGATCATTTCGTGTTTCTTCCAGGAAGAAGATAGACATGTAAGTAGGATTTCTCTCAGCATCTGCATTCTGTGAGGATAGTGAATTCCTCTTGAGCTTAGAGGCATGAGAGAGTACTAACTGTAAGCCCCATTTCTCTTTCCTTTTTAGGCTTGGAAGACTGCGAAGAGCGATTTCGCGGATGGTGAAAAAAAATAAAGTGTGCCCTCTCCCCGAGTCCTCCCCCCCGCGCCCCGCCCGCCCCTCCTCCTCCTCCTCCCACGGACCCCTTTTCAAAAGGACCACAAAGGTAAAACCTTTCAGCATATAGTAGTTGATTCTAGTCCCTCAGATTTCTTAGGAAAGGTCTCTCTGTCTGAGGTTTAGATAATCATACCCCATGTGGCTCTTTGTTTCCCTGTAGGCTCCACTGGCACCTCAAGCAAAAGGAAAACAAAGTCATCCAGAAGGTAATGTCTATTTCCATGGATGTGTTCAGAAAGTCTCTCTCTCTGTGTGTAAGAAGCCTCTCTAACTGGCAGCCTTCTCTTCTTTTCCTTTCAGAAGAGCTCATCCTGGAAGAGATTGAAGATCTGGAGGAAGAGGCGTAAGAGACTGGGCGGCATTGGAGCAGCTTTATCAATCGTTAACAGTTCTTGTCTGTTGTAAAGATTTGCTTTTGTGTCTTTCCTTGAAGGAGAAAGCTTGCGGAGATGAAGATGTAGCGCTGCCCTGTCAGCATGCGCCGCCCCAGGCCAAGGCCATTTGCTGGCCCAGCAGTGGAAGCAGCACGTGCCAGGTATGGGGGGAAATGCTGTGGTCCAGAGCATCTCTCCAGGGCTCTGCACTAACTCCCTGTGGCCCTGCTCTGGCAGCGCATAAGGAATGTGTCGGTCCATGTGTGGGACTAGAGAGATGTTTTCGATGGTGGAAAGGCCCAGATTTAAAAAGCTGTGAACCTCACTATGGGAACTCAGTCTCTCAGCCTGATTTCCTTCACTGAGGGGCAAAGGGGTGGGGATTATGAGGCTAAATCATCACGGAGTTCTTTGCAGGAAAACCAGGAGAAAAAGATAATAATTTTAAAAATAAAACCTGAATAAATATCTAAGGGAGGAGGGAAGCCAGAAGCAGCCATAACACATATTTTGCTCCTTTATATTCTCAGATGGGGCGCTGCTGAGAGTGCTGCATGAGCCAGAGGTGTGCTTAGGTTGTACTAGAAATTGGCTTTTAGTAGTGTAGCTCCAGCCCTCTGGAATCCATTCCCAGCTGGAATTAGACAGGTGCCTGGCATCATAATGTTTAGGTGTCTTCTTGAAGATGTTTTATTTAGGAAAGCTCTCCCTAATGTGTAACCCAGTAAGTCATCTGTAGGATCTGTACCATTCTGCCAGCAATTACCATCACCATCTGTTACTTGGGTATAGCCTGGAAGGTTCATAAAACCTCTCATGAGATGCAGAACTTCAACAGGACTTCAGATGCAGCAAAGCTGGAAAAGAAATTGACATTGGAGGGCTGCTGTACTGCAGAGGATGCTGCTTTTGGGTCTTAGGATAAAATGAATGGACAGCCTAAAATAAAAGCAAGAGCCAATTGTTTAAATATCTTTTAAATGTTAAAGCACTAATCCTTCATTTCTCTCTCACCGATTTGAAATAACAGATAAAGAAGGAGAAAATATAAAAAGCCAGCCAGTAACTAATTATAAGTGGTTGTTTTTACAGATGGCTGTACTGATCAGTGTGGGATTCTTCAGCGCATGGACACCATATGCCGCAGTCAGCTTCTGGTCAATATTTCACTCCAGTGAATCAATACTGCCCATCGTTACCTTGTTGCCATGTCTTTTTGCTAAATCCTCAACAGCTTACAACCCTTTTCATTTAGTATACTTTCAGCAAAACTTTCTGGCGTGAAATTAAGCGCCTCCAGTGCTGCTGTAGCCAGAAAGTTTACTTTAGCGCCAAGCATACCACCAATAGCCATGTATCAGTGATTTGGTCAGCATGGGATAATGCACACATCTCTTCATTCAGAAAGACAGTGGAGAAGTGCCAAATCCATCAGCTGCAGCTGCAGAAGTCTTATTTGAAAACGTTGCTCCAAAGTCCAGATCATGAAATCTCCCAGGGAAACACTGCAAGGGCCGTAATTCCTAGGAAGTTTATAATAAACTGCTTGCAGGATAATTCCGAGGTCTCTGTTCTTTAAAAAAAAGACCTGCCAGCAAGAAATGAGGAATCTCAAGGAATTTTGAGCACACGGACTAAATTAGAGTTTGCTATATTAATAGCTGGCAGAGGAGGTATTTATGCAATTAAAAGAGATTGTAATGTTAGTGAACTTGGCATTTGTTTTTGTGCTTTTGTTGGACTGTATGTGATGCTGAGCTCAGGTGTCACTGATGGAGTCTCAAGAGGCACAGGCGTCTTGAAGAATAAGAAAAGACCTTTGCTTAACGGGCTGTTGACACCTCCCCCTTCAATACTTCTATTAAGGCTGTTGAGCAAGAACCTTACAAAAAACTTTTCATAAAAGGGTGGCTCTCCCCGTCTTGTGCATGTCATCTCAGTACAGGATTTGTGAGGTCACAGAACTGGAAACTGCCCATATCTCCCGCAAGGCCACCAACTTCAGACTCTACAGAGGCTATTGAGCAGGAAAGGAAAAAGGGAGACAAGGCATAGGCAACCTTAAAATGTTTATGAATATTTTTAACTTTAAAAAGTGATTTTTTAATTATTTTACTATATTGGCAGTTTTAGAAAGCTTTTGGGAGGCTGCTTTTCAACTGCGTTGTTCTGTGAACCCTAAACCTATAAACTACAACGCTTTCCCAAATTTGCTGAAGGATTTCCACTTTTCAATAGCTAGATGTTACTTTAAAAGCCTTTCAGTGGTGTTCATCATTTGCCTGGAGGAGGAGGAGGAGGAGGAGGAGGAGGAGAAAGTAGATGGAGACCCCACCTCACTGGGAACAATTTAATCATCTCACAACAAGCTATCTTGTGATGGTGGTGCGCAGTACCTGAGGAGGGATGACTCCTCCACACATGACGAGAATGTCTGGGCGGCCAAGGGCATGCAGCTCTTTGAGGAGTTCAGGAACAAGCGTTTTGTGGCCAGCAGCCAATGTGCTCACCCCCACGCAATGCACATCCGCATCTACCGCCTGCTGGGCCACTTCATGGGGTGTCTAGGAAGAGAAAGCAAAGGAAGTGTCAAACAATATGGGAAAGAAGAATGCATAAAACCTAACACTGCATGCAGACCCACACTTCTGTTTTCATAGAGTGACAAAAAAACACAGACACCAGCATGCACCGCTGAAGGCTGCTACTGGCATTTAGGTTAGACAATACAGTGGTACCTCGGGTTACATACGCTTCAGGTTACAGACTCCGCTAACCCAGAAATAGTACCTCGGGTTAAGAACTTTGCTTCAGGATGAGAACACAAATCGCTTGGCGGTGATGCGGTGGCAGTGGGAGGCCCCATTAGCTAAAGTGGTCTTCAGGTTAAGAACAGTTTCAGGTTATGAACGGACCTCCGGAACAAATTAAGTACTTAACCCGAGGTACCACTGTATGAGTGCCCAGAAAGTAGAGTACAGAGAGGAACATAACCCACCTAACCCACTGCATCTTCCAACTCGGGAATCTGTAAAATCATCCCAGTACAACATATTCTGGTTGTTACCTTTAGTGCGAATAGGAAATTGAAACAATAGCTGCATGTATTTTTTACAAAATTATTTTACAAATTAATAAATTGCTTAAAAGTCCAAGGCCCTCAAAGCTGTGTACAAAAATATAAAATACAAAAATATATTCAAAAAATAAATAAAACCATTCCTACAGATGACTTACTGGGAGCCTAGAGCTTGCCGATCAGAAGGTCGGCGGTTCAAATCCCCGCAACGGGGTGAGCTCCCGTTGCTCGGTCTCAGCTCCTGCCAAACTAGCAGTTCGAAAGCACATCAAAGTGAAAGTAGGTAAATAGGTACCACTCCGGTGGGAAGGTAAATGGAGTTTCCGTGCGCTGCTCTGGTTCACCAGAAGCGGCTTAGTCATGCTGGCTACATGACCTGGAAAAACTGCGGACAAACGTCAGCTCCCTTGGCCAGTAAAGTGAGATGAGCGCCGCAACCCCAGAGTCGTCCGCAACTGGACCTAACGGTCAGGGGTCCCTTTATTTTTAACTATCCTTTATAGCGTCTGTCAGCGGCTGCCTCAGGTCTCAGCTCACAAAAGACCAACGCCAAGCTCTTCTTATATACAAGGATGTTTATTGCAGTTCATTATTGGTTCCACAACCGAGGCGTGCAGCCCCGCGTCTTTTAGCCTAGACGTTTGAAGTCCCCTCTGAGTCGGTCCCGCCTCTACACCAGCTTAAGAGGCTTGTGCTAGACCACCTCTTCCTGTCTTTCCTTTTCCGCAGGGTCTTCCTGCCCCCCTGGGTTCCTTCCCTCCTGCTGTCTCCTGAAGCGGATTCCTCAGATGCCTGTTCCCCCCTCCTTCGTGCTTTGGGGCTAGGCTCCTCCTCCGGGCTTCCTCCATTTCCGCGCGCCTCCACATTTGAACTTGGCGCGCGTTCGCTACCCCTGACCTTCCTCTTGACACTTACACTACTCCCTGTACTACTCTCCGCCTCTTCCGGCAGGACGTCCTGCCCCGATCTCCTTCCCCTGTCTCTTTCCTGCTCCGCTCCGTGTGTCACACTGGGAACTCCCCTCTCTTCACTTCGTTCCTGCTGGGAAGCCGGCCCCGATCTCCCACTCCCACTCGGGGTTTCCCTGCTGCTTCCCTGCTCCTGGCAGGTCCCCCCTGTGACCCCCCTTGTCCTGACTAGGGGCGCCCCCTCCTGGGAATCCTCCGATTCACTTGAGAGACTCATGGAAGACCTCAAGTCATTGTCATCCTCTTCCTCACTGTCCTGGGATTCTTCCTCATCGCTCTCCGTCTCCCCCCTCACCTGTGCCTCTGTCTCTGAACCCCTGACAGCGTCAGACATTTTAATTGCTAGGAGAAGCAAGCAAGCAAACAAACAAACAAAGAAACAAATAAAAATTTGAATGGAAGAGACTAAATACCTGGAAGAGTGGGCCTATATCCACATCAAACCCAAGGTCAGCAAATCCCGTAGCAATCACTTTGGCTCCTCTGTCATGGCCATCCTGGCCCATTTTTGCAACAAGAAGACGTGGTCTCCGACCTTCACGTTCCACAAACTTGTTAACTCTGAATTTAGAATTTGCTTTTGTAAGTTGCAGACGGTTGAAGTAACATTTTTAAGGGTATCTTGACAGCTGTGACTACAACAAAAAAGTCTTCCATTTTTAAAGATTTATCTATATGCATTTGAATTCTATGAGTAGTATGGAGTTTTATGTGTACATGGAAATTTTATAATCTCTCTTTCTCATTTACCTTCCATTTGGTAATGATGAGATTGAATCAAATCAGGAACAAAAGGAAAAACAGGGAATACATTAAAATAACACAAAAAAATTCTAGTGACTCCTAGCTGCAAAATTATGCTGAGCTTGCTTTATTTATTTCATAAAAGCAATAAAATTATCAGTAAAAAGTACTAAAAACAACCTTTTCAAAACATTGAAAAAATAAAATCAGCAATACGCTAAACACAGATTAAAACACACATCACCATTCTCTTGGGTAGGTCTCTCAAAACAAGCATGTTTTTACCAAACAGAGTAACAGAGGTGCTTGCCTGATGTCACTAGGAAAGGAGTTCCCAAATGTGGATACGCTGAAGGATATTATTATTAACAAGTATTATGTGGTACCCGTGACCATGCCAGTTCTGCAGAATGAAGTGGCTGAGTGGGAAAATATGGGTTAAAGCAACCTTGCAGGTGAACTGGTCCCAAGCTGTTAAGGGCTTATATACTACTGGTAACACCTTGAACGCAGCCTGGTATTTTATCAGGTTCTCCTCATCATCCACAGCCTTAAATTAAAGGCGATGAGTTTATTTTGTTAAAAGTCTAGTTTACAATACTTCCCATAACCAATTAATAAATACAGCGAATTTGCAGAACAAACCTGATAACAAACATAACCAACATAGTAAGGTTGAAAACCCAGCATTAACAAAACAAAACCAACCCACTTTAGACATGTGCAAAGAGGTAATAGCTTTAAGGTAATTGTTTGACTTTATAAAATTTGGAAGAACATTTATTAAGTAAAAATGGTTGGCTTATAAAGTGGATAAAAGAATGTAATTCCCCCAATTAAAAATGGAGAAGATAAAAGAAATGCAGAAATTACAGAGGGCAGTATCAAATGAATACCTCCCATCAGCGCTAGGATTTCCGCCTGTGAGACGGGCTTCCCCCCTCTGCCTCTTGTGCCCCCTCAATCTGCTCTGGAGGGAAGAGGGCACAGCGGAAATCCTTGAGATGACAGGAACTAGCATTAGCGCAGTAAATTTGAGAAGTGTAAGAAATTCTGTGAAATACAAACTACTGTATAGTTTAAATATTCTAAAACTTTGGAAGTGAGATGGGACATACGTTCGTAGCATGCAAAAATTTGGAAGCCTGATAGCACACCATCTGATTTAATCCACAGAAACAGCACACCTTACCTGTTGATTGCTTGAGCAATTTCGTCACTCTCCCCAAACTCCTGGCGGTAAGCTCCACTCACCATGCGGTCACTGGCTTTGTGCTCACCAAACACCTTTTTCATTGCATCCGTTATTTCACCAACTGTACATCTGAAAAAATATATATGCAGCCCAAACATTGAGGTTGAGTAAACACACCTCAACAAAAAGAAATAAAAACTCAGCACCTATTTCAATGGCACTTGTCACAATAGTTTCATATTACAATAATCTAATCACAGCAAACATAATCTCAACTTTCCCCAATTCCACAATATTGGAAGTTAAAAAAGGTTAGAGACCCCTGACAGTTAAGTCCAGTTGCAGACGACTCTGGGGTTGCGGCGCTCATCTTGCTTTACTGGCCGAGGGAGCCGGCGTTTGTCCGCAGGCAGTTTTTCTGGGTTATGTGGCCAGCTTGATTAAGCCTCTTCTGACGAACCAGAGCAGCACACCGAAACGCCATTTACCTTCCCGCCGGAGTGGTACCTATTTATCTACTTGCACTTTGACGTTCTTTCAAACTGCTAGGTTGGCCGGAGCTGGGACCAACCAATGGGACCAAGCAATTGAATTTTTTTATTCAAAATTAAAACAAAACATATTATCCAAAAAGATACCATCCTTGTCCCCCCCCCCACATTTTTCCTTCCTCCCCCCATCCTCCCACATAACCCCCCCCCCGACTTTCCTCAGTTCCAGTCTTTGGTTTCTCTAAGAATGCTGTTTTCTGCATGTTGGTTGGTGATTGGTTCAGTTTTAACAACTGTCTGGACTCAGTGTGTACCCGAGAGTAACGGGTTGGTGGCAGCAGGAAAGCGAGCACAGTGGTGGCACAGGGATCAATAGACCGTTAAACGTCCAGGGACCCTGTGTGATCGCCACAGGCACCTTTTTCTCCTCATCTTGAGGCTGGTAGTGCTAGCTGTCCTTTTTGTTCATGGGCTACTTTCAGGTGGGAATCTCAAAATATAGCCAGAAGGCGCTGTGTGGTGCTTCACTTTTAATTTCCGTTCCCCCTTCCCTAAGGCCCCAGTAGCCGAGTTCTCGAAACATTTTGACTGGGAAGACTAAAGGATCTTCTGGCACAGCTTGGTAACTGGCTAGTCCTGTGCTTGGGTGATCCCACATTGCCCGAGTAACACCATGAGTATCTATTTGTGCAATTCCATTGCAATCGTGAACAAGCATGACTCAAAGAAGGCTGCCACCTGGGCATTTTCCTGCCTCTGTCCTTTTGCTTGTGTGAGGCAGACCTCACTGAGTTTTAAAAGGCGGAAAAGACCTCCTGACCCATTTTGCCACAGTCCTCGCCAAAAATGAGGCATTTAGCAGTACTTAGGAACACCAAGGTAGGGAATAGTGAAGAGAAATCCGGGCAACGAAGGACCAGCTCCACTGGAGCTGTGGGCACTATTTGTAGTATTTTGCCTGTCATTCACCCTCACCTGCAGAAATGGGTGGCGATGGCAACCTGGGGTGCCAGATCTCTTGCACCCAACAGTCATCAGCTGTTCTGTGCAGTTTCTGCTACCAGTTACGGCTTCAGAAGAAAGCATGGCTTATGTTGGAGGAGGCCCAAAGGACATTTCACCAAAAGGGAGGCCCCCCTCTCTTAAGTCATTGAATCCTTTCTGCAGCTATTATTAATTGATAAACACGATCGGGGTGAAAGCCTCTCTGGGTGGTTCACACAGAGTTGAAACAATACACATTGTTCAAACCCTCCAAGTGTCCCTATTTTCCAGGGATGTCCCTGATTGAGAGAAGCCGTCCTGGTTTCTGATTTGATCCTTCAAAGTCCCACCATTCCCTATGGTGTCCCTAGTTTCACTGAAGAAATGTAAGAGGGTATGGAGTTCTCTGACCCCCGAGCCATCTGAAGGCAATCCTGTACAGGGATGGGTTTTTTTAATGTTTCATTTTTTGTTTCCTTTATATATATATGGTGGGCAAAGCAACATGGCGCACACCAGGGCATCACAGAGCTCCTGAGGGTGGCCAGTATTGCTTGTGCTGCCTGACCGGCTTCCAAGCTGCCGGGACCACCACCGCCGCGTGGGGGCTGGGGGCACCCAATGTATCAACCGGGGAGCCGCCAGACCCCCCCCCCCAGCGACCCCACCAGGCCGGAGCCGAGGGCATCTGGCCAACGGCCGAGCGGAGCTCCAAGGCCTGGGACAACCCACCTCCCTCTTCCAGAGGGATAGGAGAAGGGGAGAAGGAGGAGACAGACGCCCGGCCATCTGGGTCCAGAGGGACCCAGGAGCGAGAGCGGAGGGGGAGAGGAGAAGCCCTGGCCCTGCTGCCACCGCCATTGCGCTGCCAATGCCAAGGGAAAGGAGGAGAGGCAGGAGGAGGCCGCGAGGAAACACGTGGCTGAGCCTGTAGCCTTATGAGGCTTTGCCCTCAGGTGGGAAAAATATTGCGCCCGGGAAAGGGAAGTGGGAGTCAACAGACACTCAAGGAATAGTTTCGGAGGAAAAGCTTTATTTCTACCACCCATGAACTGGTAGAAGGAGCAAGTGTGAGAACTCACAAAAACATGCACGAGTTCACAGTCCTGTGCACAGAGTATATATTCCCCTTCTAGTTCCCTCCCCTTTCTCCTCCCTCAGGAGTCCTGCCCCATGTTGAGGTTCCTGAGCATGTACAGAAAGCTCTCTTGGGACTATGGTGGACTCTTGGCGCCCTTCCCAGGAAAGGGGAATGAGAACAGTGCAGCATGTCCAAGATGTTGCAACTGAATGAGATAAAAGTCCCTTCCCAGGCCTGCTCTGACAGAGTCTATTCATTAGCCTTTTTGAAGCTCTCTAGTACTGATAAAAGTAACGGTTTGCCTATGCATCTTGTCAGAAAACAGAGGAAAACTTTAGCTGTGGATTTTTAGAAGACAAAAGGAATTTGGGACAGTTTGGAGGCCTGGGGTGATTATTGAGGGGGGGGGGTCACCTGTCCTCACCTCCTTCAAGCCCAGGCCCATCCCGAGCCCACCTCCCCCGGAGCCTAGGAGGCTGGAAAAAGACCTCCCTTTTCTCTATAGAGTTTATTTATTTATTTTTCCTCCCCCTCCTTCTTAAACTATATTTTTTCCAAAAAATATTATTTTAAAACTATTTTTATATTACTATTATCATCTCCATCTTCTATTATTTAGTACATAAACTTCCCCCCTTTCATATATTTTAACCCCCTTTAAAAAATCAACCCTTCCCCCCCTTCCCTAAGTCTTCAGCCCTTTTACTAAATTACTATTAGTACCATTTTTAAAATACATCCATATATTACTTAAAACACACTTTCCACCCCCCCAAAAGGGGGAGGGGCACTTTTGTTGTTCTTGTTGTCCTCTTTTCTTTCCAATAGCTTTTGTTTTATTTTTATTTTATTTCCTTCTTCTCAATATATATTTTCCTTAACTCCAATAAATAATAACAATAATAAAAAATTATACAATAAATCTTATCTTTATTTCTACCTCAAACCTTTCTTTCAAAAATTAAAATGGCAGTGCCCAAAAGAGAGCCCTGAACCAGCACAGGACACTCCACCCCAGACACACAACTCCTTCTAATTTACTTTTCCCTTATTTTTTCCTTTCGCCTCACTTTTTAATTTTCATCCTCATTTTCTATCCTTTTTGTTTTTTAAAATCGGACCCCCTTTTTAGCCTGTTTCTCAGTCTGTTTTTGCGGGGGGAGCCCTTTCTCCCCCTCCTACCCCCTTTTTTAAAAAACAAAACTTTCCCCCCCATACCACTGCTAGTTCCCTCTCCCTCCCCACCCCTTTTTTCTTCTTCCCATCTCTCCTCTTCCCTCTCTCTTTTTCTCTCCCCCTCCCTTTCTTCATCCCCCCTCTCTCTCTTTAAGGAAAACACATACGTACACTCATACACACATATCACTGTATTATACTTTGTTCCTCTCATACTAAAACCTTTATATATATATGGTGGAAGCTGTCCAGAGTGGCTGGGGCAACCCAGTAGGATGTGTGGGGTATAGAGAGTAAAATTATCATTATGGAATGGGACATCCCTATTGTCATCAGATAAATGTTGAAGGCTATGATTTTTAAACAATTAACACATTGAGGTTTGAACACCCTTATACTTGGGGGGTAACCTATGGGATGCCCTCCAGATGTTAGTGGAGGACAGCTCCCATCACCCCTGACGGTTGGCCATGATGGTGGGGACTGCTGCGAGTTGTGCAGCCCAGCAAGATGTGGCGGCCATTGCTGCGCAACTTCCAGAGGTGTCTACTGGATCATGTGTGTGGCATTTTTAATGATGTGTGAATGACACAACCCTTCTTCTACCTCACCGTGCCACACACATTTTAAAAATCTTTCTAGATGTACCACCCAAGCATGGGATTGTTCTTTGAGCCCCCCAACACGTGGCAAACTTGAGTCAAGCCAGCTCTCCCCTTTCTTGGCAGCAGTGTCCTGTTCCTCATACCACAACCCCAAGGATGCTCACTAGGAACCAATTTCCACTGGGGCAGAAAAATTTACTCCCAAGTAGAGCTATTTAGGAGGCTCAGGCCCGAAGGTGCACTTTCATGAGCAGGAGGCCTCTTTCTGACTTAGGGAAATATTCTTGCATGAGAAAAGACCAAAAGGACAGTGTGTCTAGAGATGTATTTATTTACATAGTACTTTTTGTCTGTATCATTCTAAGCACCATATCATGGGTTCCCTGGTGGTCTCCCATCTGGGCACCTCAGGACACCTGCCAAGTGTCCCTATTTTCAAGGGACAGCCCCATTGTGACACCTCCCTCTGCTGGCTCACTGGTCACCAGAGTGCAAAAAGGCCTGGTGAACTCCTATGGTTGGATCATTTCGTGTTTCTTCCAGGAAGAAGATAGACATGTAAGTAGGATTTCTCTCAGCATCTGCATTCTGTGAGGGTAGTGAATTCCTCTTGAGCTTAGAGGCATGAGAGAGTACTAACTGTAAGCCCCATTTCTCTTTCTTTTCTGGGCTTTCCAGGCTGTGAAGAGCAATTTCGCGGATGGCGAGAAAAAATAAAGTGTGCCCTCTCCCCGAGTCCTCCCCCCCCCGCCCCGCTGCAGGCCCCTTTTCGAAAGGACTTCAAAGGTAAAACCTTTCAGCCTATAGAAGTTGATTCCAGTCCCTGAAATTTCTTAGGAAAGGTCTCTGTCTGAGGCCTATTTTGAGCTGTAGATCATCATATCCCATGTGGCTCTTTGTTTCCCGGTAGGCTCCACGTACTTCCTGGCCGCCTCAGGCAAAAGAGAAGGAAAGTCCACCTGAAGGTAATGTCTATTTCCAAGGATATGTTCAGTGTATATAAGAAAGTCTCTCTAACTGCCAGCCTTCTCTTCTTTTCCTTTCAGATGATCTGATCATCGAAGACCTCGAGGAGGAGCAGGCGGAGACTGGAGGAAGAAACACCAAGGAAAACATGAAGGTAATGTCCATTTCCAAAGAGATCTTCAGGAAATATAAGAAAGTCCCCCAAACAGTTCTACTGTATATTTTCTCTGCATCTTGAGATTGCACTTACCGTTAGCTCGAATTTGGTTTCCTACAGGAAAGTTTGTGTGCTCACATGCTTAATGAGTGAAATGAAAATTGCCCTGTTTTCTCTGAAAATGGATCTTGGTATCTATTAACTTTCATACTGTGTTTTACCCAGTAATTTCAGATTTTTTTCAAAAAAGATTTGTGCATAATATGTGCTTTCCGCCCCCTTAGTGGCTGATCTGGAAGAAGATGGCAGGAGGAAGAAAGAACAAGGAAAACATGAAAGTGTGGCATATTTACAGCACAATCCTATGCATGTCTACTCAGAAGTAAGCCCTGTTGACTTCAATGAGGGTTACTCCCAAATAAGTGGGTATAGGATTGTGGATTCATACCAACAGAGGAGTGGCTTTTGATTTAAGTGTCTCACCAGCTATGGACTAGTTAATGCAAAGAAGTGACTAACAGTATAAACTTAATGATGTCTACTCAGAACTAAGTCCTTGTGAATTCCATGGGGCTTACTCCGAAGTAAATGGACGGAGAAGTAATTACATGTAAGAATGCCAGGTAAAACGATGAGAATAATCTCAGAATAATTGCTACCACTAATATTGCAGTAGCATCCAGCACAATTCTATATACTCAGAAGCAAGTCCTGCTGAATGCAGTGGCTCTTACTCCCGGGTAAGTGCAGTTTAGGATTTCACCCTCGGGAAATCAGTTTTCAGCCAGTGGTCATTCATACTATCCCAGCCTCTTATTGGGGTCCCCGCCTTCTATTTTAGCCTTATGGTTATAAAGTGGCCATGATAAATATGGATTATATGAATCTACAGATATGTAGATAGTAACTACTCTTATAAGGCACAGTGAAGAAATAAGAAATAAGCAGGGGGGTAGCTGCCTCCCTAAATAAAGTAAATAAATAAAAATACTTTGCTAATTGACTAATAGCACCTGGTTCTGCCCCTTACCTACTACGCTGCCTTATCCCGAGTCAAACCACTACACTTCCCAGCAGCGATAGCTTTCCAGGGATTTAGACAGGAGCTTGGCCCACTCTAACTCCCAGGTGCTGAACCTGAGGCTCTCTGCACAGAAAGCAGACACTCCATCCACAGAGCCAGATTGCCCCCCCCCCACAACAGCGCAGGACCAGGGGGTGCAAGCATTGTGCCTCTCCGCCCTTGCCTGAAGGAGTGAAGACCGCCCCCTGCCCAAGCAGAGCTGGAGGAGGGAGGGCGAGATGTAAAGGGAAGGATCCAGCCATTGGGGAGGGGGACCGTTAGCAGCAGAGCAGACCCCACCCCCTGGCCGCGGAAGAGGGGGGGAGGCCAAGGGGACCCCGAACCACCTTCTTGAGCAGGCACCCCCAAACTCAGCCCTCCAGATGTTTTTGATTGCGATTCCCACTATCCCTGACCACTGGTCCTGTTAGGTAGGGATGATGGGAGTTGTAGTCCCAAAACAGCTGGAGGGCCGAATTTGGGGGTGCCTCTTCTGGAGTGTCTCGTCCATGGTCTCTGGGGTGGGGATGCTGATAGCAGGAGTCCTGGCCAAGGGAGGCGCCCCTGGAAGAACGAGTCCAAGCACGACACTTTCCAGCAGCGATGGCCCCCCGCCCTCAACCCCAGGGGCTGGACTGGAGGCTCTCTGCCAGGAAAGCAGCCCCTCTATCCCCCCAGCGCAGGACCAGGGGGGGGCAAGCATGGTGCCTCTCCCCCCTTGCAGCTAGAGGAGTGAAGAGCCCCCTGCTCCCCCCCCCCGGCAGCGCTGGAGGAGGGAGGGCGAGAGGCAAAGGGAAGGATCCAGATGTTGGGGGGCCGTTAGCAGCAGAGCAGACCCCACCCCCTGGCCGCGGAAGAGGGGGGGAGGCCAAGGGGACCCCGAACCACCTTCTTGAGCAGGCACCCCCAAACTCAGCCCTCCAGATGTTTTTGATTGCGATTCCCACTATCCCTGACCACTGGTCCTGTTAGGTAGGGATGATGGGAGTTGTAGTCCCAAAACAGCTGGAGGGCCGAATTTGGGGGTGCCTCTTCTGGAGTGTCTCGTCCATGGTCTCTGGGGTGGGGATGCTGATAGCAGGAGTCCTGGCCAAGGGAGGCGCCCCTGGAAGAACGAGTCCAAGCACGACACTTCGCAGCAGCGATGGCCCCCCGCCCTCAACCCCAGGGGCTGGACCGGGGGGCTCTCTGCCAGGAAAGCAGCCCCTCCATCCCCCCAGCGCAGGACCAGGGGGGGGCAAGCATGGTGCCTCTCCCCCCTTGCCTAGAGGAGTGAAGAGCCCCCTGCTCCCCCCCCCGGGCACCGCTGGAGGAGGCAGGGCGAGAGGCAAAGGGAAGGATCCAGATGTTGGGGGGCCGTTAGCAGCAGAGCAGACCCCACCCCCTGGGGGGAGCCCAAGGGAACCCCCAGCCACCTTCTGGGGGGTCCTGTCCCTGGTCTCTCGCCTCCGTGCCGCCCGCCTCCCGGGGCCCCTCCGGCTCCCCTTCCTCCGAGAGAGGAGCGGGGACCAAGGGGCGGAGTCCGTGGCTGGGAATGGGAGTTCTGCCAGGGGGAAACTACCAACGCCCAGAATTCTTTGCGGCCAAGACCGGGCTGCTGCCCGCGTGCTTTCAAAATGCAGTGTCCCTGCAGCCTGTGCACGCGCTTCCCTTTTCACACACCTCCCTTTCTGTCCTAAAAAATTAACATGATCCCCACCTAGCCTGGGGTGGGATAATCTTTCTCCTTCTAGCCTGAAAAAACCCCTTAAGCAGCAGGGAGGGAAACATAGAAAATCATTTTTTAAAAAAGTCTCCCCATTTCTATTCAAGCAACCGGAGCGGAAGCAGGATCCTGCACTGAACGTCCCTCGGTATGTCATCATAGTCAAAAGTGCAAGGTAGAGCCCTGAGTTAGGGACATTTCCCCGCCATGTTTCCTCCCACTTCTTAACCTGCATGTGGAAGTTTCTGATCAGAACTGGAATTGTGCACTTGTACAGAGCTCTCTTTCTCTTATATATCTCAATGGTGGAAGGAGGAGACCTGCCCTTCCCTCTTTCTTCTCCCAAGCACTGCTGAAGGTGTGGTGCCCTCAGAGGCACGATTCCTTTTCAGGATTCCTATAGGAAGATGCAGAATCGGAGTAAGGGAGGCTCTGACACTTTTGACCCACCAAACTTCTGCCGTGGAAAAAGCACGTCAGCTTTTTGAGTTAGGAAAGGCTATTGAGAGTTGAGCTCTTAGACTTAACACGCCTGCTTAAATTTGTGAAAATCAAAGGTGTATAAAATAAATGGTTGAAACTTAGCTCCCCTCTATCATCTCAAGTTGGTTGAAAGGACAACCTGTTGTGTTGTTTATGAAGAGATGGATACGAAATACTAAGAGTATTATCTTCCCAAGTGATGCAGCCTTGGCGGCTCTGAGCGAGGTTCACCTTTCCAGACCCTGGCAGATACTTGGGGTAGAAACTCCCTTTTGCAAACTGGAATTAGATGGCTGTACCTATAAGGAACAGGCAGATTTGACCTGGCACAGCATATGCCGCCTGGCAATCCCAGCAGACAGGAGAGGCTTGTTGCTGCCCATCAGCTGTCATCCTCTCATGACAGGCTGCCATTCCTCAAGTACTTGAGAAACTGAGTGGCCACACCTGGCTGGCACCAGGGGAGCTTGAGAACATAAGAATCACAGAATTGTAGAGTTGGAAGGGACCCTGAGGATCATCTAGTCCAACCCCCTGCAATGCAGGAATATATGGCTGGCCCATCTGGCAATTTATTTGTTAAGAGGGAAAGGGAGCAGTTCTTCATAAGGATCAGAATAAATGTGGCTGAAATTGCGTCCTTGAAAGCACCATCCCGGATTTGGAAAACTGATACCAGGAGCCATAGGTGCAAACAGCATTTATTGTGGGGCAGGCTTTATTTTGGAGGCTAAGGGCAGAGTTGAGTTATCTGTGATGCAATTGGTCAGTTAGTTAAGTATTTTTATTGATTTATTTGATTTAGAGGGGGCAGCTCCCCCCCCCGCCTCCTTGGCTACGCCCATGCCAGGAGCCTGACACATCGTCTTGGGTGGGGTGATGCTTTCAAGAAAGCAATCCCCAATATTCATTTTCTTTCTTTTTATGAACTTTTATGGACTTCCAATCTATATAATGTGTTAAAGAAAGCAATAATATTTTGCTATCATCATAATGGCTTCTACGGATAAATATAATTCATACTTACCTCTTCTGGCTTGCCTAAGGAGAAAATTAAAATTCAGCTTTGAAGACAGGAGCCTGGGATCGTTTTAGCAACACCATAGCTGTGTAGTAGAAAACAAATAGGGAATGCCTACTTTTATTTTTCTCCCTTTCATTCAATTCCAGAAGTCTCACAAGAAGCCCAAATTACCATGCTAGTGTTGAAATAAATGTCTGCCCTGATCAGTCGTGGTTGGTGCCATGGGGCAGAGCTGCACCCCCAATACAGGCGCTGCCTCAGCTTACCTGGATAAGGCAGCGGTGAGATTGGGGCTGTGTGTGGACACCCAGTTCAGGTGAACTGCAGGAATGTGGGTGTCGTGGCTGATGAACCCCATGCCCCTTCCTGGTGCACATATTTGCAACCCTTACCGTCTAACACAGGGAATCTTCATGTGTTTGATTCCCTGCTGGCTGGGCCCTTGCACCTATGCAGATCCATCGGCTCTCGCCGGTCTGAAAAGCTGTACCTTAGAGCATTGGGACATGATACTGAAGTGGTGTGTTTAACATTTAATGTTTTATTATGTTTTTGTATATGTTGGAAACTGCCCAGCGTGGCTGGGACAACCCAGTCAGAATAATAATAATAATAATAATAATAATAATAATAATAATAATGGAATAAGACATTCCTATTTGCATGGGAGAAATGTTGGAGGGTGTGGGACAGGTATAGGAGATAGCTAGTGCTCCGAAGGTGCAGGAACAGCTTCAGCTGGAATCCAAAGGAATAGGCACATTTTGCATATTTATAAAAAGTGGAACATGGAAGAAAACCATATGCGAAAACTTAGTTGCGTCCCTTAAGAGGAGCAGGACTTGTGGCCGCTGGTTTTCTGAGGGCCCAGGGGTGCTGCATCACAAGGTTCATTGTGACATCTCCCTCTGCTGGCTCATTGGTCGCCAGAGCTCTAGAAGGCCTGGGATCTCCTATGCTTGGATCATTCTGTGATTGCGAAGGAGAAGACATGTAAGTAGGATTTCTTTCAGCATATCGGATCCTCTTCATTGAGGGTCTGCGTTGCGCACAGGCCATAGGTGTAGCCCCCCTTCCTTGGGAGTGGTGGTGTGATCGAGGGGGGCCTTTAAAAGGCAGCAGCGTGGCGTTGGGGGGGGTTGCCTGGATTTGTCCTGCCAAACACCCGCCCTTGATTTAGGTATGTGTTCTGGCCTTGCTCTGGACTTCGGTTGGTCGCCTGTTTTGGACAGGGGCTGAGTAGGAATTTTTTCCATTTGGCAAATTGGTACTGGCCTCTTGGTTTTCGCCTACCTCTTAGCAATTGTCACAACTTTGTAAGGTTTGGTGGTTAGGCATTGGCTTAGTGAAATGTGGGGGAGGGGAGGTGCGGCCATCACCTGCCCCTCCAGGTACAAGGGGATTCCGGTAAAGGAATCCGCGGGTCCGGATCTCGTCCAAAGTCTGCTTTGGAGGCTAGGGCCATGCCAGGACCCAGCGGGAACCCCGGGGTGAGTTTCCGTTGGTCACCATTGATGGAGCTCCAGACACGCTGAGAAGCTCCACAGCAAGAATGCAAGGAGAAGCATAAAATAAAGGTGATTAAAACCTATTTAATGATTTATGGACTGGAGGAAGGTCGTGGAGGGAAGTTACAATTTTGTTTAGGAAAGGCTGGCCTTATGAAATGCAAGATATAATAAGAGAGGAAGATGGTCGATGCTTAATAATTGTAATTAAAACAGAAGGGACAGAAATAGCAACAGTAAATGTCTATGCCCCAAACACTGATGACCATAAGTTTATTCACAATTGCTTTAAGAGATTAAGTTTCCTATGGTATCAGCAGTTGATAATGGGTGGAGACTTTAGTGAAATTTTAGATCCACAGATGGATACCATATCAGTAGCCAGGAAAAGAAGGACAAAGGTTAGAGAGACAATAATTATATGATACAGTGGAATTTAGTGGATCCTTTTAATAT